CGCTGCTCTCAGATGTAACTCTGGCTGTGAAGCTGGATTTGACAAATAAGCGATTAAAGTTTAACTTTTTAAAAACATTTTTAGCGTCTGTCAGTACACAACCTTTTGTCACCACCATAGATGATGTCATACTGCTGGAACAGGCAGCTCGCCTTCTACAGACCAGAACAGGTTGATGACAAAGTCAGGATCTGAATGGTCCAGATGCTGAGGAGGTCACAGCTGGTCCGTTGAGTCTCTGCTTGCCCATTGGTCTGGGATTGAAGCCAGGTGAGACTAACCTAAGCACAGAACTCAGACGGAGACGATGTGAACAGGTATAACAGGTATAAAGTGAAGCCAGAAGACGTCAACGGCGTCCCCGTCTGAGTGGGAACTGGAGCAGAGGCGTTTCATCTCTCAGATTCTGATAACTTCCACGTGATGATTGCAGCGATGGTTTAAAATGTCTGAGCACGCTCAGTCATGACTGGACTGTTGATCGAGCTAACACAGAGTTATGTTGAACATTTTGTAGCCACGCCCCCTCTCTGATGTCACTAACAGCGTCTCCACCCATCGTCCTTCCACACTCAGCTCACACAGAGGGAGCCGGCTCAGTTCACACAGTTTATTGTTTTTACATCGGGAGCCTGTAACCAAGGAAACGCCTGCAGGATGTAAACAGTACAAAATAAAGGCACTTAACTTACAGCTGTGAGCTCCATTAAATAGCTTCTCTTTGCTCTTCTGTACACGTATTTACAGACATGGGACAGCGAAGGAGACGAAGCACGCACGAAGCTTAAGACCAAACTGACAGATTTAAAACATCGATGTTAAAAACAGAAAGGAAAACACGACTAAAACACAGGAAGCTGCTCCTTCACAGTAAAACACTCCGTCTGTTTGCGTGCGTCACTGGGAGGAGCTGCGGTCGTTGGCGACGTCCTGCAGGCGGCGCATTAGAGCGTTGGAGTCGGGACAGACGCGTTTGGGCGAGGCTCCCTCCTCCAGAGCCATGCCACGCTTCCTGGTCGGAGTCTCTCCGGTGCGGATCATGCTGTTGATCTCCTGGAGACGCTGAAGGGTCAGAGGTCACAGATTAGTGTTCAAAGCTGGGCTGAGCTGCACATGCTCAGACTGCTGACTCTTTGATCTCGGAGCTCGTTTATTAAACTGTTTCAGGGTGACGACGGCGTCCTGCAGGGGGGACCATTTCAGGAATCCCTTCATAATCTGACTTCCTGTTTAAAGATGTTAAATAATAACACTTGAATATTGATGAGCTGCAGCTAACCTGTGTCCGCGTTCACTGTTTAAATAAAGTTAGAGGATGAAGCACCTCGAGACGACCGTTGTTGGGACAGGAAGCTGGATTTACGCTCAGTTTCTCCAGAAAACATCAGAGGGACACTTTATTTTGAAAAGCCAAACTGTATCCTGTATAATAAACTGTCTGAACATCATGTGAAGTTATAAACGGACCTCCAGGTACACCTCAGAGGTACGACAGACTCTCGCTCGTTTTTCTAACCGCCGCTGCCGTGAGAAGGCGCCGGCGGGAGAAGCCGAGTGTAAATCGACCACAGAAGGTTTTAAAATCATGAAAACGTTTCAGACACACGAGGAAGTTTCAGTACGAGAAGAAACGGCGCGGCGTCAACGCGTCGTTACGGATAAAATAGCTGCTGTGAACGTGAGCAGTGACTCGTGTGGGGGCTTACGTTGGGGGGGCTGCTGCAGATGTAGTAGTGAATCTTTTCCCTGGGGGTCATCAGTGAGGGGGCGGAGCCTGCCTTGTGAGGCGAGATGTAGATGGAGTGTTTGCTGGACAGAAGCATCCGGCGGGGAGAGCCGGTCCTCACGGAGGGGTACGGACACAGAGGGGGGGT